GAAATAGGAACTTGGAACCAGAGTAATACCAGAAGCACGAGTTTCATTATTGGTTCGGCAAAGTTACTTTTAAAAGTTTACGACTACCGTAAATTCTAAGGTCGACGATGTTTGTTCTACCTAGGAACTTTGTACTAGCTTTTAACTTTGTCTTTAATTAATGCACGCACTACAATATTATCCTACCGACTGCGCCAATTTTGTTACGCGGCAGTGACAAAAACACTTTTAAAAGAAATTATTTATCAAGATATTGACTAAAATTAAGATACAATGTATATGGAACGAGATTTGAAGTAAGAATGAATATGGTTGGGAAAGGAACAGGATTTTATACGGTTGGAGTGTGGGAAATGGTATCAACGAACTAATCATGAACCAAGTTAAACAATGTTATTTATGGGATATTGAAAAGTAGACATGGATTTTGGAGTGTGAGAAATGGTATCAACAAAGTCATTAAGTAATCATGAACTAAGTTAAACAATGTTATTTATGAGATATTGAGAAGTAAACATGAAAAGGTAATTATATAATAATAAAGGTAAATAATGTAACGATATAATTATATAGAGTTTTGGATTATGTAACGAGTCCTACTCATGCACGATCGCGTCAAATAATAATGTGACATAAAACAATTTAAAAATAAGTCACTACACTCTCTAAAAAGCATCACTAGTTCTCTATGTTTTGAAATCGGCCTGATTTGTTGTGGTCTTTTGCCAAGTTAGAAAAAATCCACCACTACCTACTGTGCGGCCATTGTAACTTGGCAGGCCTGATCTAAGCGCGAGACGCTGCGCAGAAACGTTCTTTAGGATGTTAACGGTGGTAAGAGCGAGGGGCGCGGGTCGAAGATCTAAGCTAGTGATTGACTCAGTGTCAACACTCAACAATCGACCGCTTCTTCTATCAAATTTTGTAATCGATTTTTATAGATTTAGATTGTGGATTTTAAATCGTATGAGATATTGTACTAAATGGATTGATGAACACAGTGAATGGTATTGTTAATAAACTTTAAAGGAAAATAAAATCATTAAAAACTTTTTTCATTATTGAACTACCTGATTTAGTTAAATATGAGGAACTATTTATATAATTACTATATATACCTTCTTTAGGACTTTTTATAAAATTATATTTCTACGATCCAATTTTGTCTATTTCAATAGGAATATTAAACGACACTCACAAAGATCGCGTATGGACATCTCTATTTGGTTTGAATCAAGTAGTGGTATTTTACTTTTGAGTGCTATATGTAAAATTTTCATTTATCCCACTAACGAAAATAAATGGCAGTATTAGTTTTCTATACGAGTGTATAATTTTATTATCTAATTTTCACAATTTTAATAGGAATCGATTAAACGATACTCTCAAGGATCGCGTATGAACTGGTAAACGAAGGAATTTAATGTTGTGTCCCTTTCACACTTGCTACTTTTCATCTTCTCCTGCAATATTGTTTTTTAATGTCATTAAGGCGATACGCTACATGGCTCTTATTGACTTGAAGATAAGGTGCAAGTTAAATTAATTGGAATAAATAAATAGTCTTAAAATGCTTTGCTATCCAAACATAGAAGTCATTGTTTTCATTGATTATCCATTAGGCGATAAAATATTAAATAACTCTAAGAAATAAGAGAATCATATCCTCTGCTTAATATATCATATGAATATAACTTATTTTCTTACTATTTAGAAAGATGTTCGACGATTTTTAAGTTATTCACAGCGCATAACACTTTGGTGACCTTCTAGGTATCGAATTTTACTAGGTATGTCAGTTTAGTTCAGTTTAGTAAAAGTCATTAAGTATCGTTTAGACATAATATATAAGTATAGTTAGGATAAAAGCTCCATCTATATCTATTCCGTTTTTATAAACTTATTGTGCAAATAAATACATTTATGAAAATACAAAGCGCTTACTTATAACTTTGGGTTTGCGTATCCGACTGTTAAACTTCACAGCACAATCACTTCGACCACTTTTTTGACACAAAGATTTTGTTCACTACAGTAATCCATTATGTGTCTTAACTCGGTAATCACAAAGCTCATAATTACGCACGCTTATTTTGTTATCTTAGAGTGTTTGACGACTATACGTCTTGGTGTCACTAGATGGAATGAAGCTTTGGGACACGCGGCGAGCTAAACAAAGCGTATTTCACTCAATAGACCGGTAAACATAACTGTCTGTTTTAAAAATTATAAATATAATAATTAAAATAGACATTTTAAAATAAATAAGAAGTTTCTTTGCAGTTGTAGTTTATGAATTACTTAATACGTACTATTGGGCTTTTTGAATAGAGTAAGGGCGTGTGTATTGTTGAATAACTAAAAAATTAAACAATAACATATATGGAATAACTACCAAAGAATCCCTGAAATTTGAGAATCAGTTGGGTGATAGTAAAAGTTAAACGCTTAACTATCGTTTATAATGGCAAGTAATGACAAAGGAGGTTCTATCGTAGAATTAAATGGGTCTCTTGTACATACCTACAAGTTTGTTTCTTAATCAGAGGTATTGGGCCTCATAAATATTCCCATTAATAGAGTTTACTTGTATACCCAATTTGCACTTATTCAAGTTTGACTATAGACGTAGGTACAATTTTATTTATTGTATATTTATTGTTATTTCATATAATTAAAATCTGTGTCAATGTTGTGCATATTCACGTGTTTATATTAAAAACTAATAGGTAATTTAAAAATCGAAAATGCACCTCCACACGATTTATAATTTTGCGATAAAATAATTATAATTTGTGTCAATGTTGTGCTTATTTAGGTGTTTGTATTAAAAACAAATGTTTGTAGGTAGCCTATTAAGCGTTCTACTTTCTTAATTTACGTGCAAAATATCCCAAAATGATGTTAACATGAAATAAATCAGTAGTCAGCACTCATTTTATTTGGTTATTTAGTACTTTATTATAAACCGATACGTGATTAAACTTTACATCACATTACCCATTTAATGTCCAGATCTCCAGACGAATTCCAACGTGTTTCAGAAAAATTGTAAATTGATTTGAAACATATGGACCCGCATTAAACCGCGTTGACACTGGGCAATAATTGACGCGCGACATGTTGAACAACAAGTTGCCTCTCATCTGTCCACTATACCTTTGTCGTCGCCAATATGCCGTCAGAGAAACAAGTTAAGAAAATACCTATGAAATAAAGAAAACAAACAGCGACGTTGTGCAACGTTGCGCGTCTCGTGTGGTGCGCCAAATGTTGCTTAGTGGAAACCTGGCTTTAGGCATACATTGGCATAAAAAGATAAATCTAGTACTTTATATTGGGGCTTATTTTACCTAGCGTCACAGTAATTTGCAAGAAAATAAACAAAAAGATATAAGAAACCTTAATACTTGCCACAATTATGTGACCTGATATCTATGTTACTCATTTGTATCTATAAATTACTGAATGACACTGCAAGCTTATATGTATTAATTAATTAAAAAAAAAAACGAATTTTAAATTTATATAGTGCCATCATGTCCAATATGTGAAAAAATGAAATTGAAGTTTTAAAAAAGAAGTCCTTTAATTTTCATCATACTACTAGCTGTGCCAGCGACTTCGTCCGCGAGAATCGTTATTCTTGGGCGTCCAAATTAGGTTTTGCAAACCCCGTCATCTTTATAAACTTAAGCTGTAAGCCACGACGTCGATCGCATTCCTTCCCATCGTTCTTGCATGTTAATCTTAAAAGATAGACATATAGCGTCGCGGACTTTTTTTTAGACCATTTAAAGAGGAATTCTTTCCTACTCATTTTTTATTTATCTTGAACCGTTTTCGCAGCGTACACAACTGAAACCCACAGAGATGAAAATTTTCCAAATTTTGTTCACTTTTCACGCTGTATCTTCACAGCGCAATGTTTTATAGCCTTCCTCGATAAAGGCTCTGACCAACTGACGTCCAACGTTCCTGAGGTTAGCGCGTTCAAACAAACAAACAAACTCTTCAGCTTTATATATAAGTATAGGTGCTTACTATTAGGTATATTAGCTTCGGTGTACAATTTATATAAAAACACGTCACTTTCACCATACCAACCCTCTTCAAAGAGAATATTTTTTAAGTCTCTAGTTTACCTGCATCAAGGGAAACCTTAAAGAGACTTTACATCTCAAAATTAGATGATTAAAAATTGTTTTAAGATAGGGTAAGTATAATCTCAAGAAGAGAATTACTTGCATTTTGTGTAGCTCTTTTTAACAAAGGACAAAAATCCCCTAGTTTAATACATACAAATACAAATACAAATTCTTTATTCACCAAAACTGTGTACATATCATTATAGGGAGTGCTAGCCCCCACACTAGGATTCCCTGTGTCGTGGGTGGCTAGACTCTTCCGGTGCATTTCGAGAAAAACAATGAAAAACTTAGTATCTACTTATAAAGTTATTATATGCTAAGTAATTAAAAAATAAAAAATAAACTTAAAAATATAGATAACATTTTGTCATATAATTACATTAATACATTTTTCTGTTTAAATATACATTGTTAATTTATAAGACAATTAAAGTGCAATTAAATATTGCAGAATACCTATCTAGAAATAACAATGTATGGCTAATAATCAATAGGGCGATTCCCACATGCTCCAACTTTTTTCTCATCAGTTTAATCAGTTTCCGAATATCCAAAGGTTAAGTAGGCCGACAGCGCATCTTGTTTAAATGTTATCGAGTGAACCTATCTATCCTTCTCTATGACGAAAAAAAGAGGGTTTTACTCTTATGTTAAATCATTCGCACCACCGCTGTTCTCTAGCTTTAAGAGAAAATTTTGTCAAACAAGATTCAGGCTTTCAGTCGTTAGAAGAGCTCCGTTCGCGCGTACCGAGTTTTCCGGAAAACTCGCTTTTCCGTTTACCGCGTTATTACTTCAGTTTTTGTGTTGGTTGGATTTGAAAAATATTCTTAATTCCTTTCACCAGAGATGTTGGGTAAGAATTACATATAGGTTATGCAAAATATAGGTTAAAAAGATACATGAAATTGTTTTTTGATTGCGCATTAAAGTTTTGTTATTCTAAAAGAAAGGATAAAAACTTACTTTAGCTTGCAACCATATCCAGGCTTGAAGTTCTGATAAAATCTAACTTTAAATGTATTAAATAAAAATGTAACATGAATTAAAAATCGATTATAAATTGAAAAAAAAAACGACACGGGCAGCTTTTGAACCGGCATCGACAGCGTTCTTAGTTATTTCAATTTATAATATAATCGATTTTTTATTTCTATAGTGCCATCATGTGCAATAACAACATCTGCAATGCAATAAAAAACATTAAAGTTTTCGGAATTATAATATTTAAAAAAAAAATCTCAACGTAATATTATATATATTTTTCGAATCCTCATACCTAACTTTACATCGAGATATTGTATTCTCCAGGATTATTTAACTATTGGGAATATTTTGATATAATATCTATCCTCTTATTAATTCGGTCGTACCGACTAAATTAAACTGAATTTGTTTTTATTAAAGATAGTAGGGATGGGCAGAAAGTGTTTTGAAGCGAAACCGGAGTTATACTTGTTTCCACTTCTATAGTAGTGATTTAATTAAGCCAATTCTTCTGACGACATTTCTTAGTTGTAGGGTTAAATTATTTGTTTAGTATTAGGTACCACGCAAAACGACGCGTTCTTAATTTTTTCGCCGTGTATGGACTACAAAATTACTTTTTCCATTAAAAATGATTTGATAAAAATTGCCTTTTCTTAATAATTATCATGCGATAATTAATTTTTTTAACATATAATTTTAAGTTGATATTGATTCCTTATTAAAATTAAGCCGAATTCGCTCCGTTGAAACTGCCAAGTGCGCGGATCCATCTTTAATATTTCTTTTTTTATCCAACATATCAGACCAATAAAACAGTTTGTATAGAAAGGGAGGCTACACCGATAGTATACGTTTAAACGTTTTTATTGGTTTCCTAAAATAGATATGTTAACAAGGTAAGTAAACATAATATGCACGAAGGTCAGAGCGATGATTTGAAGTAAATTGCTCTCTCACGTACATACGGTGGTTTGTACACCACCCGGTAATGTCTGTTTATGATTTACTTTCAACCTGACAAGCTAATTAAAATATGCCAACAGAACGCATATTGAGCCATAATAAAACCTCTACCGGGCGAAGAAGTTCTTAATTCATTGAGAATTTTTAGAAGTATAGGTAATTGTTTTTTTATGATAGAGGAGGGCAGAGAAACATGGGGTTTGCTTGATATACCCTTGCCTATAGCAACTAAACAAGATGCACTGTCGATCTATTTTGGTTTTGTATATTCGGAGATTCACAGACTGAAGTCGAAACGTGATTAAGCTTCACGGCTCTTTCAATTGTGAACGGTGGAATGTGACCCGGACGGAATTTCTATATTCCCAACACTCTAAGCATACTCTTTTGCTCTTTGTAGTGCAATGGCTAAGCCTAGCCTAGCATTGCGTCCAGCGTGAGAGCCTCCGCGTTTGGTTCCTAGCAAAACGTACTTTCGGTCGAACGGAGGACGAAACAGGCACAGAAATGTCTGCCACATACCGAAAATAGAAGATGCAAACATTTTAAAGGGTACATTGACGTAACTTAACGAGATATTTATGTGTTAGTAATTACGGGAATCTTTACTTAGTCTCATCGGAGACCAGGGAAAATTAAGCCAACGGGAAAAATCTCCTTTCATTTTCATTACGTTTTTGTATTATTGGGAAATTCAAAAGATTTTCGCCTTTTCAGTGTTAACGGCTATATTCACCGTCTTTCTTATTGAGCGTGCCTCACCTCACACCCATTTCAATACGAAAAATAATACAGGACAGCTGAACAAAAGAGGATGCGCCTTATCAGGGACGCACCAGGCGTTATGTGCGAAATCTGGCCATCAACTAGTATGTACCAGAGGAATTAATACTGACTGGATTACTGGAATAAGGTAAACGAAAAGATACGTGACGAGTTACAAAATCAACAAACGCACAGCCAACAAATTCAGAACATGTACTTAGTAACTTTTTCCATTATGTTTATGATTATGTGAGCGGTTTATATCTTCTATATTTAATTTTGAATTGGAGAAATTAAATCCCCTAGTAATTTCAAGCTATTTACAATGTCTTTTTGCCAGGCACAAGTCCCCCGTCTTATAAAAGAGGACGTTTGAACGTTTAACAGCTTAGACCCACCACACTGCCTCCAGCCTCCAGCAGGAATATTATATAAAAAAATTGTAACTATAACTCAATAGAAAGAGAAATAGTGACATTGTTGTAAGTGCAGTAAATACTACTTAAGAATTGTTTGAATTAAAAAAAAATGAAAATTGAAATTACTTTCAATTTTCATTTTTTTTTATGAT